GGGCGGTGGAAAGGTGGTGGTCCTCTGTGTTTTTCCTAAATGATTCAATGTTTTTAAAATATTGTTTGAAAAATTGTTTAACATTGCCTAGGAAAACAGAGCCAGCCTGAAACAGACCAATGATCCATGGTAATAGGAAACTGAGCACTCTGAGTGCCTGGACACTCCCTGCACTTACTCCTCTCAACAGCCATATAAAGCAAAGACTATTATTCTCATTTTAGATATGGAAAACCAGGCTTATAACAGGAGGAATAACCGCCCACGATCACATAGCTGGGAGTGTCAGCGTCGGGACCAACTCAGGTTGGACTGATTCCAGGGGCCATGATTGCTTCCCACCAAAAATATGTCTTGATTCTGGGCAAAAAATGCACCACGTGGCTTCCCTACAGAGATAATATCCTAATGATGCCCCACGGTTTGTGGCTTGAGACTGAATCATGATGTGGGCAGGAGAAACAAATCTAGTGCTCCTTGAACCCAGGGCCTGGGCCAATTCCTACATGAACCCATTAACAGCTCAGCCGGTGGCCCCAATCCCAGCAGCACCTCCACCCACAGTCGGCTAAGGCCATGAGTCTACACTTGGTTGTAAGCTGGCAAGTAGAGGGTCAGGATCTGCGTCCTGGCACAGGAGAGGTGAGAGAGCAGGCATCTCTGGGGCAGCAGCAGCACCTCTGCAGAAAAGGGCAGCCTCGAGGGGACATGGCTCACGTCACATGGATAGCGACTTTCAGAGAGCAACTTACCGAGCCCGGACTCTTCTGGGCCACGTCAGCATCTCCATTCAGTAAGAGAGGTTGGGATGCAGCAGCTGGATCAGCTTTTACAATGTCCACTTCAGAAAGAACCATCTTCCTTCTTTCTAAGTTAAGCTTAAAATAAAGCAGATGCCTATTCAACAGATAAGCAGCTGAGTGTATTCAACCATGGAACCAAACCCACCACCAGAAGGGAAGGCCCCTGGGGGCGGGGACTCTGACTAGTTGTTCTTGGTGATGTCCCCAGAGCCTAGAAGAGTGCCTGGGACATGGTGTGTGTTCACTGGCTCTTTATTCATAGAAAAACAGAGGGACCCAAAGAAGCCAAGGTCAGATGAAGACACATGCGGCCTCCCCGCTCAAGATGCTTCAAGAATATCCCTCTAGGCCTGGCGCCGTGGCTCATGCCTGTATTCTCAGCACTTTGGGAGGCTGAGGTGGGTGGATCATGAGGTCAGGAGTTCAAGACCAGCCTGACCAAGATGGTGAAACTCGTCTCTACTAAAAATACAAAAAAATTAGCTGGGCATGGTGGCGGGCACCTGTAATCCCAACTACTCAGGAGGCTGAGGCAAAGAATTGCTTGAATCTGGCCGGCAGAGGTTGCAGTGAGCTGAGATCATACTCCTGCACTCCAGCCTGGGTGACAGAGCAAGATGCTGTCTTAAAATAAAAAAATAAAAATAAAAATAAAGAATATGCCTCTGTTCCCCAAAAGATTTTCTGTGTATCTCCTGTCATAATTTGAGGCCGAATTTCAAAAATGTTTTCAGTATAAATTTGAATAGGATAACAAAGGACACAATTTCTGATGCAACTGTAATACAATTTAAAATTTTACATTTAAAGGCCAGGAGAGGTGGCTCACTCCTGTAATCCCAGCACTCTGGGAGGCCAAGGCGAGTGGATCACCTGAGGTCAGGAGTTTGAAGCTAGCTTGGCCAACATAGTGAAACCCTGTCTCTACTAAAAATATAAAAATTAGCTGAAGTAGTGGCACATGCCTGTAGTCCCAGCTACTTGGGAGGCTGAGGCAGGAGAATCACTTGAACCTGGGAGGTGGAGGTTGCAGTGAGCCGAGATCACACCACTGCATTCCAGCCTGGGTGACAGAGCAAGACTCTGTCTTAAAAACAACAACAAACAAAAACAAAAACTTTACATTTAAAAATAAAATTGTTATAGAACTGTTTCCAGTGTAGCCAAGGGAATCCAAATGCTATGGTAATTTGACACCCAAACCTTTAGTTTAAAAAAAATGTGAGCTCTAAGTCTTTTATGCTCTTTCTTTTGATCATCAATTTCACATTTTCATTCTTTTTCTCCCACAAGTGGGGGAAATGAAATGCCATTCATTTTACTCTTGAAAGCATGTAACTGACTGCCTTATATTGTCTGCACTACAAATACACATGTATTTGAAATTCATTTTTAAAATGTTGTAGGACAAGTGTCTAAATACAAAATTTTACAGTGTCTAATAATCTTGGATAAAAGTAACTGAAAATCTTTCTCCTATGACTCAAAATAAATGTTATAGAAAATAGCATGCACCAACTTACCTCCAATATACGTTCCTTCAAATAAAAGTAACGTCAACAAGTTAGATGGTATCACTGAGCTGTTCTCCTGTACCTCCTTGAAATCAAGCAAAGTATACAAGTAAGACCCAAACCCGCAGAACACCCAAGAGTACCCACCCACCCAGTCCCATTCCCATTCCCAAGGCTGAGAACCGTGCAAGTGCAGGAGGTCTGAAGCTGATTCTGATTTCCCAGAATCCTTTTCCTATGTTTCCACTATTTTAACTATTTTAAGATGAATAAAGCAGAGTTTTGCTGCAAATCTGCTGCCTGGATCAATAATATGTAAGGATGCTCTCCTTGCTTCTCCTCACGGGAACCTTCCCCGAGAGCCACGTGATCTTTGTCAATATCATGGGGGTTGAAGGGGACAGGTTAAAACAAACTCGTCGCCTTGCTCTGTAACATATCTAGCTGCACACCTGAGCCAACACCATTTCTCCTGTCACACTGGAGTACACAGAAACGCCCATGTCAGGATGGTCGGGAAGCACTGCCACGGGTTCATGCTACCTTGGCTAAAGAACACGTCCCTGACGCCAATACTTAAAACTATCCTTTTCTGTCTCCCTTCCCCGGGTTTAAACGCTTCCAGGACAGGCATCCTTGTTTGATTTGGATGGGAAGGAAGGGATGTATTCCTTTTTTTTTTTTTGAGACAGAGTCTTGCTTTGTTACCAGGCTGGAGTGCAGTGGCGCGATCTTGGCTCACTGCAATCTCCACCTCCCGGGTTCAAGCGATTTTCCTGCCTCAGCCTCCCGAGTAGCTGGGACTACAGGTGCCTGCCACCGCGCCTGGCTAATTTTTTGTATTTTTTTTAGTAGAGATGGGATTTCACAGTGTTAGCCAGGATGGTCTCAATCTCCTGACCTCGTGATCCGCCCACCTCTTTTGTCAGGTAGGAGTGGAATGGTTACAAAAGGCAATCCATTGTAAACAGTATTTATGGAGTCTGACAATCTGGAAATTTATTCCCTAAAACTCCCATGCCTTTGGAAAGACCTCATGTGCCCAGGGCATCCCAGGCTCCATACCAAAGACCACCACTTTATCTGCCTCTCAGGAGTGCCAGTCTTCTGGGCTATGGTTGCCTCAATTGGACTTTCTGCAGCCAGATACGGAGCATCGTTGAGACCAGGACTTGCACCTCATGACCACGGGTTCCACTCAATCAGCTGAAACAGGACTTGGTGAGTAGATTCCCTTCCCTAATTTGTTTCATAAATTGAGATTTTCTGAAAGCTAAACCTTATGGGTTTTGTCTGTAAACCATAAACGTTTGCACCTTTCCCCGATCATTCGGAACATCAGTTTGGATTTCAGGGACAGGGCAGTCTCGGGAGTTCAAACTGATTTCTCACTCCTCCATGGAGCTCGGCATCCAGCTGCAGTCTTCAAACTCAACCAGCTCTGGCCTTGGAAGAGCCAAGAGGTGGTGACTCCTAGCTCTCCATCCCAAAATGCTCCTAAAATGTCTCGGCTGCACCCTGTGTTTGCAGAGGAGGCTGCAGGGAGCCTGGACATGCCTCCCACCTCTCTCTTTTCCAGTCCTCCATCCACTCGTCACTGCACAGCCCCACTGGTCAGAGCCTGAGGTGTTAGGTGGGCATGGATGGGGTTAAGCACCAGGCTCTTCTCACATCCTGAGCAACTGCCCCTGTGCAGGGGCTTCCTTCCATCCCTGCCCAGGTCAAGTTTGTGCCCATGACATATAATAATGACCTGTGACTAATGTCTCAAAATGGAGGCACTCGTTTTAGGTGGCATTAAGCCCACAGTAGGTTTTTTCTTTAGAAACAATAAACATACATGTTTCTCATTTTCGCTCTTAGTAAAGGGGTTTTTCTTCAAAGTGGTAATCATGTGTGTGGTAGACTAAGGGGATGAGGGAACACTTGCTGTGGCCCAACGCCACCAGAGACCCCAGTGGATAAGGACCCGGTGGCACACACACCCACGGAGGATCGCAAAAGCAGCAAGGGACTGGCAACGTCTGAAGCATTTTCAGAATCTTGGCAGTGAGATTTCTGAAAGCTTCTTCCTGACTTTGGCAGCTGGGCAGCCCAAGACCAGGCCCCTGGAGGAACAGATTTCCCTCCACCACCCAGCACTAGAGAGGGACTTCCCGATTCCCTGGAGTGGCTGTCAGTGGGCTGGCCTCCGGAGCCTCCACTGTGGGTCCTTACCCCAATCACTCCCTTTAATCATTGTACTGTGAATGTCTGCTCAATGGTGTGTGTGAATTGCTCACAATAAATCTTGAATTTGAGAATCGCTCATTGCCTACTGGGTCATCCTGAAACCTTTTGGGAAAGTGACAGTTAGCACACAGCTGGAGGAAATCTGGTTAACAATTAAAATGAACCTGACTGGGTGCAGTGGCTCATGCCTGTAATCCCAGTACTTTGGGAAGCCAAGGCGGGTGGATCACTTGAGGCCAGGAGTTTGAAACCAGCCTGGCCAACATAGTGAAACATTGTCTCTACTAAAAACATACAAATCAGCCAGGTGTTGTGAAGTGTGCCTGTAAACCCAGTTACTCAGGAGACTGAGGCACCAGAATTGCTTGAACCTGGGAGGCGGAGGTTGCAGTGAGCTGAGATGGCACCACTGCATTCCAGCCTGGACAACAGAGTAGGACCCTGTCTCAAATTACAAAAAGAAAAAGAACCCAACGGCCCACTTCATTTCTGCTGTCCCTTGGAATGGTGGTGGCTGGATGGCGCCCTTCTCCACTCCAGATTTCAGGGCGCAGGAGTTTTCCTGTAGCCTCCAGACCCAGAAACGATCACCCAGCAGTGTGGCCACAGAATTCCTGCAGTGAGGGTGGAGGTGGCATCCAGGGTTGCCAGGGGGTTTCTCTCCTTGTGGGGAAGCTTCCTCAGCTCAGACCCCATAGAGGAGCAGGGATGGGAGGTAGGATTCAGCCCCCTTCCTCTCCCAAAACCCCTAATAAGCATCACCTACTACCTACGCTCTAGGAAATACCTAAGATGCAAGTCTACTACTTTCCTAACATAATCCAGTCTAGTTTTTTCTTTCACACACTTTTAAGTTCTGTGGTACATGTGAAGAACGTGCAAATTTGCTACATAGGTATACATGTGCCAATCCAGTCTAGTTTTTTCTTTCATACACTTTTAAGTTCTGGGGTACATGTGCAGAACGTGCAAGTTTGCTACATAGGTATACATGTGCCAATCCAGTCTAGTTTTAAAACTAACTCTTGCAGGACTGACATTCACCTTTTCTTAAAGCGTTTTTCCCCCAAACCCTACTAGCATTTAAATTTGTTATGAATAAAAGAGAGAACATCTTGCACTTTAGACCAAATGCACTGCTACCTACCAAAGCCCCTGAGCTGGGTGAGCAGGCCGGCGGCAGAGGCGCCAGGGAGGCAGTGGGAGGCGTGTCCACCGCGACGCTGGGATTCCTGGGCGGCAACTGCGGTCCAAGGCTGAAAGATGACGGAGCCATTTTAGGAGCCCTTTGGGACTGACACCGGGGGTGGAGGTAGACGCGTGGTTAGCATCACTCCACTCTACTTCCCAATAACAAACGTGATTTAAAATTTGACCAAATAACTTGGGCCATCCCAATTGCCCAGCTCGGCAGTCACCCGCTGTTAGTGTTGATAGGGTGGGGGCGCAGGTCTCAGCTGTGCCCGGGCTCCTTCTGCCACCCCTGGGACTGTCCTGCCTCCCTTCGTCCACCGCACCCACTCCACGATCCCGGCCAACTACGCTGGACCCCGAGGGTGCGTCCGCCCCACGCGCCGGGGAGGCCCCAGGCATCGCATCCACTGGGGCGGTTGCGGCGGGGGAGCACCGGGCAGCGGTCTTCCAGCGCATGCCCCATCTCGGCCAAGCTCGGAACCCCCTTTATTCAACAGGATAGGCGAGGACTCCTTGAACCTTCCCTTCCCAGCGACCTCCGCACTCTGACTTGGGTTTGCTTTGGCGGGTTCGCAGGAAATAGAGGTCGATGGAAAGCGGTGGTCGGCGTTCGGGTGGGCTCGTGGCCCACGCAGCAGTGGATCTGAAACTTTCCCGGCGCCCTTCCCGCTTACTAGAGTCCCTCGGAAACCTCCCCCAAGCCCCGTCCCCCACCCCTTCCCAACCTCTCCTGCAAGAAGGCCGCGGGTTAGTGGGGGTGTGTCTGATGAGTCATCAGGAGCCTGGGCAGCCTGGTGGGAATCAGAATCAGGCGTGCTCCGAGCCCGCCCATCAGCGCCCTTGCTATTATTATTATTATGTTAGTTACTAGCAGCCGAGAAGATGCCCCCGCCGTGCCCGTGCTCCGGAGTGCTGGTCTCCGCCACGAAAGCCGCTCTCCCAATGCCCGTTTCCGTGCTCCTAGCGCGGTTACTGGGCGCTGCCCACAGAAGCGACACTCACCGGTCCCTGCGCAGTGCAGGAGTGCGGCCTCCCTCTCTCGCTCCGCGGCTTTTACTCCGCGCCCAGCCCCGCCCCGCCCCGCCCCGCCCCGCGCGGCGAAGAAATGAAACTCACAGACCCTGTGCTGAGGGCTGCTCCGGGCGCAGAAACGAAACCTGACTCCTGGCCCCGCACTGGCAGCACGTGGCCTCCCGGGAACTCGCGGGAGAGGCAGGTTCTCGGGCCCGAACCCAGGCCTGCTGAATCAGGAGCTCGTTTCATCAGGCCCGTGTGAGGATCCAGGTGCTCCAGAGGCTCGCTAATGGCCGGGAGTCATCCAAGCCTGCACGTATCCTTGAACCTAGGCATGCCCTCACCCCCCTGCTCCCCCTCGTCGGTTTTGAAAACAGATGCATTGGTAATTGGGGCTCTTCAGTTCCTGCCCAGGGCTCACTGGGATGATCCCAGCACCAGCAGGGATTCCCAGGCATTGTGTGCCAATGGTTGCAGCGCCCCTATTGTCCTGAACTCCGTCCAGCACTCCCACCCCCACCCACCCCCATCAGGCACACCCATATCATCTTCCTCCTCTCCCATTTCTAGGCCTCCCTGGAGTTTGGCTCATCTGGTCTCTCCAGGGTGGAAACGGGTGTGTGGAAGGAAAATAAAATAGTAATAATAAAATTTAAAATAATAAACATAGGTAATAGTTAACATTTAGTATAAGCTATTTAGAAGTAAGACATAGGCTAAAATTTTAAGCAGCCTCTCCCAGCACTGCTAACAAGTTGCAGATGCAAGCTTATCTCGAAAGCTTATCACCTGCCTTGGGACTCCAGCCTTATCCAGCTTGGAGGATGACTAGTCAAGATAACTAAATCGCCAATTTCCTCAGAATTGTCACGGGTTAAGTAATTTACTGTCTTTGTCTGAAACCTGTATCCTACCTTGTTTTTCCTGTCTCAAACGACAAATAAGCAAGCTGCTTTCTTTGTTGGGGTTGGCAGTCATTTGGAGCATGAGCCTGCTGTCAGTCCGGGTGCCCAAATTAAAAGTTCTCTTTTGGTCTCCAAGGGTCTCTTTGTCTTCCTTGGATAGAATTTTACTGCAACAAGTGGAAGGGGTTGGGGAAGGCTGAGTCAAGCAGACCCATGGGTGGCCCTCCCTTTGGGAGCTCCCATTCCCGGCTAACTGGCTGTTGAGTGGGAGATGGCATTTCCCTTTGGGAGCAGTTGGCACCCCACTTCCATTCTTCTTTGCTCAGCTCAGAGTCCCTTACAAGCCCCACTAAAGACTTCCATGATGAGGAAGGGTCACCCCCAACCAACCCCAAGGCCCAGAACCTGCCCCAGCTTTAGGTCCTGGGGTCAGGGGCAACCTGGATGGAATCAAATTCAATACTGCTGCACCTACAAGAGGGGGAGGAGCCCCCCCAGCCCGCTCCCTGTGCTGAAGTCTATTTTGCTTTGCAGGATCCACTCCTAGGGCTGGGCAACCCCATCCAAGTGGTTCTTCATCCAAGGGGTTCATCCAAGGGAAACACAAGTTCTCCCAGGAATCAGCAATGACCTCACCTCAACACACACACACACACTCATCCTCTCTGGCCTGTTATTTTCTGGTCAAGAACCCAGGCAACAGCACATCCTGGGGGGCTGTGAGCAGGCTGGGCTGATGCTTTCTGAAGCAGGAACAGTGCCTTGGGAATGCAGGGTAGGTGTGAGCAGAGCTGGCACTCATGTGAACAAACACTTAGTGATGCTGCTGCTACTTCCAACAGCGGGAAGCTTCCCTAAGGGCCCTTGTTCACAAACAAAATCAGAAAGAGCTGCAGGCAATTGAAAATCAGATAGAGGCACAGCCTCAGCCAGGGCAGGGCGTGGAAGGGCAGTGAGGCACCCTGCCCAGGAAACAGCACACATAGCTCACTCCCAGTTGGTGCAATGCCTTCTTAAGTTTTAACGCCCTAGGCACTTCCCTTGTCCACCCCAGTCCCTCCCTGGCCTTAGATTTTGGTGCTTCATTGCCTCTAATATGCATATGATATGGCAGGGCCCTGGGGAGCACAGGTGATTGTTTTGGGGTGTAATTCAGCAGTCATACAATAATAGCTCATGTCTACTGAGCATGTAGTATGTGTTAGGTGTCAGAGAGAGACAGGACTAGCTGGATTTCCTAGGCCAACTAAGAATCCCTAAGCCTAGCTGGGAAAGTGACCATGTCCACCTTTAAACACGGGGTTTGCAACTTAGTCCACACCCGACCAATCAGGTAGTAAAGAGAGCTCACTAAAATGCGAATTAGGCAAAAACAGGAGGTAAAGAAAGAGCCAATCATCTATTGCCTGAGAGCACAGGGGCAGGGACAGTGATCGGGATATAAACCCAGGCATTTGAGCCGGCAATAGTAACCCCATTTGGGTCCCCTCCCATTTTAAGGGAGCTCTGTTTTCACTCTATTAAATCTTGCAGCTGCAGTCTTTTGGTCGTGTTCGTTACGACTGGAGCTGAGTTTTCACTTGCTGTCCACAACTGCTGTTTGCCACCACTGCAGACCTGCCGCTGACTTCCACCCCTCTGGATCCAGCAGGGTGTCCCCTGTGCTCCTGATCCAGAGAGGCGCCCATTGCTGCTCCCAGTCAGGCTAAAGGCTCGCCATTGTTCCTGCATGGCTAAGTGCCCAGGCTGGTCCTAATCCAGAACACTTACCACATGCCCCAAGATTCCATTCCTTGGAATCTGTGAGGCCAAGAACCCCAGGTCAGAGAACAAGAGGCTTGCCGCCATCTTGGAAGCGGCCCGCCATTATCTTGGGAGCTCTAAAAACAAGGACCACCCGCTAATATCAGCTAGAGGGACTTGTGTGCGATCACTCACCTTAACAGCCACCCTCCCAGAGGAGTAGGATTATCATACCATGTTCTCCATGACAAGACTGAGGCCTAAGGAGCTGGGTTCCATACTGGTAGAGCTATGGTTCCAATCCAGGTGATTATTCTCCAAACCTGTGCTCTTCAGCACCTCCTCGCTATGCTGAAATCAAGAGGCAGCTTCTGTACTTAGGAAGCTCACAACCTCCCACCTAAATTGCAAGGGATGTGCGCTCTACTAAACAAACAGCAGTTACTCTTTTTTTTTTTTTTTCTACCAGATAAGTTTCACACTCTTAAACTTTGAGAATGGCCCTCTGTTCTTCCAGGCAACTTCTGATCCAGTCTCAGTCCTCCCTTGCCATCCCTGAACTCAGCACCCAGGTCACACTCAGAGGCTTTGTTGATGCCCGTCCCTCTGCCAGGCTGCCCTCTGTCCACAGGCTCAAAGGGAAATTTATCTCCCCTGCCTGAAGTAAAGGAGTAAGAGAATGGCTACTCCACAAAGCAACCCTGAAGGCTGCTAGTTGACCATTTTTATGATTATTCTTGATTATATGCTAAGCGAGGGGTGGATTATTCATGCCTCCCCTTTTTAGACCATGTAGGGTAACTTCCTGACATTGTCATGGCATTTGTAAACTGTCAGGACGCTGGTGGGAGTGTAAAAATGAGGACCACCACCGGTCACTCTTGTGGCCATCTTGGTTGTGGTGAGTTTTTGACCAGCTTCTTTATTGCAACCTGTTTTATGAGCAAGGTCTTTATGACCTTTATGACCTTGTGCTGACCTCCTATCTCACCCTGTGACTTAGAATGCCTTACCTGTCTGGGAATGCAGCCCAGTAGGTATCAGCCTCGTTTTACTAGCTCCTATTTAAGATGGAGTTGCTCTGGATGCGCCTCTGACAACAGAGATCTGTTTGGGAAAAAGAATGGCAGGGTTGATGGCTCAGTTCCCAGGCTTGATGTTTCCCTTGGCATAAGGAGTTTGGGGGTCCTGAGATGTTATTTTCTTTGGCACACCTGTCCTCCTCCAGGCCCAGGTGGACTTACATGCCTGACACCACAGGCTCCTGGGCACGCAGGGCCCAGTGGAGCCTGGCCTTGTGGCACTGGCCTGGCCTCTGCTACGAGGCTGAGGACCGGGTCAACCGGCAGCCCCAGGCCCACGGTGGGTGCCACTGCACTTGGGATCCGGGCACAGCGTGGTTCGGTGCTCCTGGAATGAATGAATGGGGAATCGGAACGCCGGCCCTGGTCCTGCAAAAGCTGGCCTCAGGGTTCTCCCTGAGGAGAACTGGGCTGGCTTCTCCCTGCGCTCTCTGCCCCCGTCGCGAATTTCCTAGACAATTCAGTTTCGGTTTCATTTCTGCTCCCTGGTTTCCAGAAACGAAAAGTCAAATTGCATGACTTCAGGCTTCAGAATCCAGGAGGCGGGGAAGAAGGGGGCGGTGCCACGAGGAGGGGGTGGTGGTGCTCACAAACACCACTGGCACCTCCCCCAGCTTGGATCCTGTTCTGCTGGGCTGGGGATGGGGGCGGTCGCGGAACGGTGGAGCATCCCATAACCGGCCAACCTGCCCATCCTCCTGGCTGCATTGCCTGCAAGTCTGTCCGCCTGCCAGCGCCTCCGCCCCCGCCTCCGCCCCCACCCCTGCCCGCTTTGTCCTGCCTGGGCGCGAGTACAGGGACTGGTTTTCTTTGCCTCGTTTCGTTTCCTCTTCTGTGCGTGTGGTATAGACCCATGCTTCTCAAAGGGTGCTTCCTGGAACAGCAGCATTGGCTTCACCTGGGAAATTATTAGAAATGAAGGGTCCGGGGCCATCCGAAGACCCCTGCATTAGCACCCGTATTTTAAGGGCCTTCCTCAGGTGATCCCTTGGCAACTGGGCATGAGAGCGCTGGCGTCTGGTGTGGTTGCTCTTGGCCCTCAAGGTCAAGGCGGGACTTTTCCTTCATGTCTGCCTGGGGCCCACCAGAGAGCCCTGCCGGGAGGAGCAGAGGCTGAAATCCTTTTATACTGGTGAGCTTTAGAGAGTGGAGCTGGGGGCTGCAGGACCTGGGTTCAGGCACTGTGTACAGGTGGCCCAGCTACTGAAGGAAAGCAAAATATTTTACCCCAAAATCTTTGTTTTAATTTTTTTTTTTTTTTTTTTTTGAGATGGAGTCTCACTCTGTCATCTAGGCTGGAGTGCGGTGGGGGTGATCTCAGCTCACTGCAACCTTTACATCCTGGGTTCAAACGATTCTCCTGCCTCAGCCTCCTGAGTAGCTGGGACTACAGGCGCCCACCACCATGCCCAGTTAATTTTTTTTGTATTTTTAGTAGAGAAGGGGTTTCATGGTGTTAGCCAGGATGGTCTCGATCTCCTGACCTCGTGATCCGCCTGCCTCAGCCTCCCAAAGTGCTGGGATTACAGGCGTGAGCCACTGCACCCGGCCACTTCTACTACTTTTATATTTCACTCAGCTCTCTAAATTTATTTCACCTCTAGGTACTGTTAAATCCTTCCCCCATGATCTGGGATTTTTGGGTTCCCCAGTGAGGATGTGTGTTTGGAGGTGCTTTCCCCTCTTACATCTCGGGCGCTCAGTTTTTCGGCTGTCTCACAGTGTTTGCAGTGACAAGCCACTTCTTTCAAAGGGTCTGTGAAGTATTTTGGTTTTCCTGCTGTGTTCCTGAGGTAGTTCTTGGAGAAAAAGCTCACAGTGTGAGTCTCCACAT